AAATTTGGTAAAATATATAATAAAACGTCTACGAATTCAGATCGTGATGTTTTCCTTGAAATGACAGATTTTGTTTCGTTCAGACTTAAACTCGCCTGTCGAGATTCCTAACAGTTAACTTTATCTCTTATTACTTTGAGTCATCACCATAAAGATTGAAAACATTGCATTATGTATAAAAACAATTATTGCCAAAGCCAAAATAACACGAACGATATAAAAAATGCGAAAGTTTGAATGTATGGATGAATGTTTGTTATAAGGTATCTCGAAAACGGCTGTATGAGTCACGCTAAAATTTGGAACACAGTTTGGAATAACACATAGATTACTAATAAATTTTATTTTTTAATTCAGCGAAGACGGAGTCGCGGGCGACAGTAAGTTATAAATATTTTTACAATGCGATAGTCGCGGTTCGTAGAAATTCCTGAAATCATAAATACCTTATCACAATCCTAACATGGTGACGTAATAATTGTTAGTTACACATTAAACTAGTTGTAGTTACGTTACGTTATTCGTTTTATGGCACTAAATTCCAATAAGAGTTGCAGTTTTTAAAATTGATCGTTCTCGTCACGGTAATAGGCAGTTGCAATAAACGAAATCGGCAATTTAATGTAGGCTTTTAAGGTTAAATGTTCGACTATGTGATATAAAATTATTGGCAATATTTTCTATTTGCACAAATCGATTTATTATATAAATATCGATAATCGATGAAAAACTTTTTATCTTGCACTAATTATTCGAATTTAAAAAAAAATTGGGTACAATTTGCTTATTGTACTTATTGTATTCATAACAATCCGCGCTTTTGATTTAAAAAAAATATTCTTTAAAAAAGAATGGGTCAAGGCTTATCATTAACTGTGACTAAAATCGTTGCACAAGAAAAAAAATCGATTAGAAATTTTATTCGGTTTTGAATTCCAAATCTCTTTCAATTACCATTAAAAGATTGTAAAACATTTTATGTTACTTTGTACATTTGATATAGATACCTGAAAATTATATTATCACCTAGCACTCAAGACATTTAACGGTTCCTTAATCCGTTTTCTAGGATAATAAAAATATCTGCCATGTATATATTACAATTTGTTATATATTTTCGTTTTCTACATTCAAACATCGACAACTTTATGCCGCACTTTTTTAATATCTCCCCAATTTAGTCGGTATATCTAGGACAATAGTACATCTTATAATTTGATAAATAACAAAGAGTAGTTTGGACACGTCTTGTTTCGAATGTGGGTGGGCATTGCGTAGTGTCCCGGTTAACTAAATGATCTTTCAATTGATCCTAACAACTTTCAAGTGCGATCAGCTAACAGCCGGCTTCATACTGTATTTATTTATTTAACTCAATTTTATTATCAACGATTGCCTAATGCATATAACGTGCATGTTGACATAGAGTAGAAACAATGTACTCTTTGACATAGAGTAAACGTGCGTACTAAAAAATATATTAACGAATACATGCGATATAATTTAAATTTAATAAACGCCTTATTATTGACAATATTACGCGATTTAAGATTTCTGCAAACAATTTTGGTTTTTTTTATATGTTATCGTTTTATATATTTGCTTTATAATAAACATTTAAAAACCTTCTCAAGACTAAATAAAAAATATATTATAATACGTTTAATACTGGCAACAATAAAGTTTTCGACGAAAAATTTTTTCGTTGTCTCATTCTGGATGCTTATCATAAATTACGACTTAACATGAGTTGGAAATCTTGAGATTGCATTTTATAAAACTTTCCCATTTTAGTCGCGTTTACACGTGAAATATGGACTGCAGTTATTTTTGTGATTTAAAAGATAACACTTTCATAGATGGTTATCATAAAGCAGCGTTTCTCTCTTACACTTCTGCACATTTACTAAAGGAAAAATACTGATGAACTCCCAGAGTCTGTTTACGAAAAACACATGATAAGTGGTGATTCCTACTGGACTGATCGAATCTACATAATCGATTAAGGACTTACAGGAATATATTTTGATACTATTGATTCCACCGGAACAATAGGAGAATATCCTTTTTGGTCGATTAATCCATAGGCTAACCTACCCACCGGAAAAAACCCGTGGCCTTTCCTTTTGGGCGAATAGCGGATTTTCAGTACCATTTTTTCTGCAAATGTAATGAAACATGTTTATGTGTTTACGAAGAAACAATATCCTAATGTAACTATCCCCTTTAAGGTACGTGTCCATTGGCCCGCGCCGGACACACCGCACGCATGGCCTGCATTGAATTTTAGCATGTATGATTTGACATAGTACCGCGTTCATTATCCGCGCCGCCCGCATCGCATCAAGACAAAGCAAATCCGTGCGTGCGGTCCGTCCGGTGCGGGTAATTGGACGCATACCTTACGTAACTAGTGTAAATTATTGTATAGAAGTTACTTTTAATATAAAAAAATAATTGACACTTATTACACGATTGTTCCGTTTTAATTTAGAAAAGCATCGGACACGATAGAAGGCATTGACTGTTTAACAAAAAATATGGCGTTGCTTTTTCATAACGGTGACTTTCGAATATTAATTATTAGTTCATTAGTAATTATCAGTGCAGACAGAACATGTACGGAAGCGATTGAATTCATTATTTCACGTTATAGTGTAACGTGCGCGAAATGTTGCGTGTCGGCGCCGCGGAAACATGTCTTGTGCTTACATTTCTTAACCGTTAATTCTTATTACCAAAACTATAAAAATAAATACATTTAAAACCAGCTTTAAGAAGAGCAGTTTTTAATGTAATTTTTTTTTATTATAAGGTTGCAAACGAGCAACCGGCCACCTACATTCGCCAAAATAGTGAAGCGACCGTTGTCCACAGACATCAGCATTGAAGATGCATTGCCCATCTTTAATCGACGGAGGAGGAGACATCTTTCAAATCCACTTCCCTTTCCCATCCTTTCCTCTATTTTGATTAGCGTTGTTACTTTCATAACATGATATATCAAACCTAACACATCTTTCTCATCTTTGACAATCATCTCCATATTTTAGTCGATTTATACTAAGTATTTGTGATGAATGAACTAAGTATATACTAATCTACAGGAATCTCTTTTTGGTGTAACAGAAAAAACGTCAATATGTTCTATTTTTAAACACAAAAAGGCGGAGGTTGTCATCATCTATTCATTTAATTTAATTCAAACATACGCATCGTCGGGATTATGTTTTATAACATTAATTGTCCTCCATTACATTGTACAATTACAATGACTAGATGGAGATTAAGCTGACAATACTTCCATAAACATTTATCATTACTTTATAATATAACAAACCATTCTATGTTTTATTGCGTAATTAATTTAAATACGTCTTTAGAAAGTCAAATAAAGACATTAGAAGCTACAGAAAGGACCGTTAAAATTGATTAAAAAATATTAAAGCAATAAAAAATTGTAGGAACATGTGACATTTTTTTAAATATAATTACACAATCAATGAACAATCTTCTCCTTACTTGTCTTACCTTACAACAGACGCTAAGATAATTTTATTGAGATTTTTATTTACGGATATCCATAAAGGTCGATCCCTTCCGCCCTATTCCCACAGAACCCGACAAACTTTGATGCATTTCGTGGAATGCACACATCTGCATCGTTTTATACTCACAGCACTTCCACTTATTTTCGACCTTACAAGAAATAGTACAATGTGCCAAGCCAACGTAATATTTTCTATTAAACCACCTTGGCTTAAAAGACTTGTTAGCAGGCCATAAAATCTTAAAAAAAGTGAAACCTTGTCTTCAGTTTCTAGCTCTAGTAAGCAGTAATTTGAACACAATATTGTTCAGTAGAAAGCAATGAATGAGTCGTAAATAATACCTGGAATACTTGTTGGGATATTGTCAGGTCAATGGCATTAAACGATTTGACATTTGTAACAAAACAAGGTCAATAACCTTAGTAAGAGGAACCTTTGTAAATGATAATACGGTGCCAATCAGGATTTTGTCACAACAATGATGCACACATAAAAAATGCTTCTTTCAGAAAATAACTCGTTTTGTTTATTTTTACAACCTTGAATTCCCTTGTAACTGAAATTAAAGAGAAAATTTTGGCGGCAAAAAAAGAACTATAGTTCAGACTAGTAAATTAATTTAGCTTTTTTTGTAGTTAACTACCAGTTTTATCAGGGATTTATATTTTAAGAAATTTTCAAAGGGATTTAATCCGATTTTATAAAACACTGATACATAATTCCCCGTGGTACGCCGGGGGAGTACGAGAGGGGATTTACTCCAATCTCACATTTTAGATTGACCTAATTATTTATCTACATTTATCTATTCACCGGTGATTAATGAAGGTACATACATATTGGTATTTTACTTGCACCCTACTCCACCTTATCTGTTTCCACATGTTTTTCATCAACTTGCCGTATTCGGCAAGACCGGTATCGCCCCTCTTCCCCTTATATGGTGTTCGTGTTGATCAAAAGGGCTTCTTTCATCGAAACGAATAAATTAATGACATTGGATGACAATTTAAACATAGTACAATAGTGTTCATTTGTTTGAATTTTAAATTGTTTTTTTTAGAATTACCTAAAATTAGATAATGTTAATATGTATTTAAACAAGATAAAATATTTATAATAATGTTACAATATTGCAAACGACCAGGTTTTTTAACTGAAACTTTCTCTTTTTATCTGTATTAAACGTGTGATAAAAATAATTACGTTTACATTGGAAGGTTATACCTATATAAACAATACGTACCTACAGAAACGAGTAATGAAAAATGCATTTACAACCGTTCAATTAAATGCATTTGTATGCGTCAGCTTACAAAATACAATGCAAACATAAAACTCGCATTAAAAGTTCAACAATAGCCAGAAAATAGTGCTAAAAACGAACAAATACACACGTGTACTCATTTCATAGATTAAAAAGTAATTTAAGGGCTGGTTTACACTCACCTAGATTTGAGGCGCGCAACAGTACCGTTAGAGCCACACAAACACCGTACTCATTCACAATAATACAGCACAGATTGATAACAATTAACAACAACCGAGCCGCAGATCCGCGACCAACCGTCGACCGCCGGCTGCGTACACCGACTGCCGCTGCCTCGCCGCCAGCACTCGCCCGCCGCCTCAGATAACTGAATCAAGATAATGCACTAAGGTAAAAGCAAGCGATCTAAAGCAGTGTTCACATTCGCGCCACAATGCCATTCATGACTTTTTTATAAGTTTTTTTATAACGTTCTGGCCACCTGCAGCTTACTGACTCAAAATAACCCTTATGAGTCAGTCGGGTATCTTTTCAATTTTTACAAAAAAAAACAATTCCAAATGACACAGAAATATAAAGCTTTTGGCACGATTATAAATATGTGTGTGTTTGTAGATATGCAACTTAATTTATGACGATCTGAACAAATTATTTTTTTGGACTGTCATAGGTCAATCAGGTTTTTTTTTTTCAGTACAGGCAACATGTATACAGAATCGTTTATAACCTTTAGATGACTTAATACTTTCTTCTTGAAGGTCTCTAAGAAGCTCGTAGTTGAACAAACACCATTGTTGGGAGTCAATTCCAGTTTTACCGTACGTGGCGAAACCGCCTCGAGCTACGTGCAGATTGCGAAACATCAAGGTACGTACTGTTTTCGGCAAACGAGTCTTTAATTTGTTGAATCCATTCTGTTTCTTACTTCATCATCAAATTAATCTTTTCGCAATATTGAGACTAATATAATCTTATTTTAATTTTTTCAACGTCTTATTTATGACTAAATTAGTTATAATATCCATTAGTGACATCTGTTTAAAGAATATTCAGTAATGTTCTATATCCGTTCTAAATTTTAATAAGGTGTGTTGAACTGTAGCAGAATTACGTAGTTAATATATTGTTAAAACAAACGTATTTTACTGTAAGTATTTCTGGGATCAAAACTGCCTATATGTTCTTCCAGACAATGTTTTCCATCTATGCCAAATTTTAGAAAGATCCGTTAAGCTTGAAGATATCTTCCGACAAATATCCATCCATCCATACATACATTCGCGTTTATAATATTAGTAATACTATAGTTTTGTTCTAAGTATTATTAGTAGTAAGTACACTACAATAGACAATAGTGGAAAAACCTTTTTATCTAATACAGTTGACCTGTGGTGAGGTGACATCTTAGCTTTTATACGTTAATTAAGGATGCAGCCGTTTGGAAATAATTAGGTTAGATCAGTGGTTCCTAAAGTTATTTTGTCTACTGCCCACTTGGAGAATAAATATTTTTTTAGCGCCCCCATATTTTCACATATTTAAAAACCACTATAACTTCAAATTAAATTAATTAATTATTGTAGCCTATAAATGTATATTAACGGAGAATTCTAATCGAAAAAAAACTTTTACTATAACCCGCAACTTGAAACCTGTAGCGCCCACAAGGAGGCGTTATCGCCCACTTTGGGAAAGACTGGCTTAGATTATGAAGAATTAAGAGAAGAGACGAGAACAATACAGTTCATGTTCTATTAAATCCAGGTCTACAAACTCGAGCATCCAAATTCCTTAAATAAGAATATTTTTTAGTCTAAAAGTAAAATCAAATAATTAAAAAATTCCTTAAAATTGAAATTTTGGAAACAATAAACTTGCATCTTGTTAACGTGTACAATGGAATGGTGACATTTAGTACAATATCTAGTTAAATTCAAGGACCCCTCTAATGTCAAGAGAACGGCAATACGTTGCGTGTTGCGTTTTACCTTAAAATTGCATTAGCACCGCAAATACGACATAACATTTTAATGTATTTTATTACTGTGAGTTTACACAGCCGCAACACATGTGGAAAAACAAACGTAATCTCGTTCATACTCTTTGAAAAAACAAACATAACAATACTTTTTTGTAAATGTCTTTTGACAGTGGAAACCGACAGTTACAGATATTTGCACGAGTTTGTTTTGTTTCACGATGAAATTGTTTTAAAGTTCTGTACTGTAAATTGTAGTATTGTTTTGCGTAAGTATTTTTGCAATAATGCGAAATATGAGGATGTCAATAATACTGTTATTTAATTAATTATTAAAAATATTTTAATACAATAGTTAATAAGTGTTTTCCTATTGTTACAATATTGTAATTATATAGTACAATGTAAATTATTATATTCATTAAAGAATTTGCCCGCGACATCGTCGGCGCGGAACGTAAAATATATCTTGCTAGCATTATAAGTGCGAATATTTAGATATACGGATGGATGGATTTTTGTTAGACAATGTATCCAAAACAGCTGCATGGATCTTGCTGAAATTTGGCATAGACGTAGAACATAATCTGGAAGAACCCATAGACTAATTAAGTTTTTTTTTAATTAAGCGCGGATAGCTTGTTTAGTATAAAGGCGTATTTACCCGACATTATTAAAATGGATAGTTACTACGAATAAAATAACAATTTTGTATTTTTAAAAACAGAGCCTATAAGTAATGGGTTTAGTGAAAAGAATATATTCATAGACATTTATATTGGATAAGATTTAAGTAGATAACCTCTCTACGCGTATTTCAGAGATTTTGATGTAGTAATGTACAAAAAACTTTACTTTCCCGTAACGTAAGCAATGTGAATGAAGATGAACCGACACAAAAGTTTCCAAGATGTCTATAGAAAATGAAAAGTAGAAACTTTCCATTCGGTATTCTTTATTCATGAGAAGTCGCGTTACGTTAGATTAAGTAAGCCATATAATATTTATAAAGATAATACGATAATATTTACACAGCAATTACTGAATGAAAGATTGTCATAATATAATCGTTTGATAAATATTAAATTCAAATAATTATATTATCTGTATTCCGTCGGAGAATAATAAATGGAATGAAATACAAAAATTTGAGACAGCTCTTAAAAATTGGTAAAAAATATCGTAAGAAATATATGTATAAAGTGGGCAATTAAAGGGAGGAATGAATAAATAACATGTGGTCAAAATGGTGGGGCACGTGAATTATAGTATATTGAGCGATATATTACAAGGGGTGTTTTAAAAAAATATCAATAGACCTATGTTGAGATAAAGGGTACCTAAAATGTAGTCGATTTTAAAGATGAAAACCTATTCACACTACTCTATATAAAATGGGAACAGGGCAAGATGTTAGCATAGTAAGCATTATTCCTCTCCTTGTATTTGAATGTTGAATTGCTAAATCCTAACTACCATTCAATCACCATAATAATTCGATTCACTTTGTTTTACATTGTGTAGGTATGTAGTGACGTTCCTACAATATATTAACAGGTCACCGGGATTTCCGATTTGCAACTTAACAGTGTTTCTATCATTCCTCATTCTTTCTCCCTCAAACATTTTTGTCAATATAAAAAGCTTATGGACACAACTTTATTTTTCTTTTTATAAACTTTATTTAGGACAAAGACTTCTTTCTTGAATTAGTTATTTACAACCTTGTAAAGACTAAGGCGATATTGATTTAAACATGAATACTAAGTACTACTAAGAATTATATAATATTTGTTGTTCAAATTTTTCACATTTTTTATTATTTTTTACATTTTTCAGGGTTTAAAAAAAATAAACGTAATTTACAAAAAATTAAGAACAATAAAAAGACGATTAAATATCTTAAGATTGTTTATCATTATCACAAGATCTAGCCATGTGATTGGGATTAAAAAATACTTGCAGAATTATAAACCAAAAATATACTTTCGTTTGTTAGCATAATATCACGTGAAATAATAAACCAAATCCTAATGACAATTAAAAGGTAAGATTATACTAAATCAAATTAATATTTATTCTCACTTAAAAAACTTATCGCCAATAATTTTTGAAAACTTTAAAAACGATGAATTTTTTAAGTCTTTCAACCTTTGACCTTGAGACGACTTTCTATAGCTAAGCCTAAGATGCTTTACTAATGACTCTTATTTAAAGAATCTTATTTAAAGTCAAGTCCAAGATATCTAGTGCAATGTTTTATTATTTTATCGAAATTTTTAAATTGTAAATAAATATTATTATTAACTTTAATTTTTAATTTTAGAATTTTTTAATTGTTTTATTTTATATTTTAGAAACATAAGTTAAAAACGAATGTGATATTAGTTTGTTTTATGTAATTGGTCTTTTTTAAATTATAAATAAAGAAACAAAGAATGTCCCGCACCCCAAGTCCCTGACCTTGACTATGTTATGACGCCCAGAGGGCGGTATAGCGACGCCCAACAAAAAGAAAAAAGTCAAGTCCCTGTGAATAGTTTGACAGAGGTTTTTTCCTGCAAATAACAAGTTAACGAATTATTACCTTTCGAGGAAAACAGGCCACGTTTGAGAGCATTAAAATTGTTATGTTTTCACATGAAATCACGCGGCACATCTTTATTGTACGTAAAATTCCACAAAACAGTATCGTACATTACAACGCAGTTATCTTTCGTCAACAAACGCGACGCGCTTACGCCGCGGAAGATTTTCACAGCATCTCTTAGTCCTAAATGAACTTAAGCCCTAGATAAAGTTCGTAATCTAAGCGAGGACTAAACTTTCCAAAGTATTTAGGTCATAGCCTAGGTAATAATTTTCCTATAAATCCAGGTCATGTAATTGTTTGATTTGGCTCAACTCTCATGGCAAGACTCGATTATGCGACTAGGTTGTCGCCCCGACTCCGTCCGCGTGTTATAAAAAAACTTAGTCAGTAGCCTGTATGTTCTTTCAGTATTCTTCTTTTACCGTGGGTTTCTGAGTATAAAATCTCCGTTTAAAACATCTCTGTTTTGTCGAAGACGAAAGACAGGGATGACGTTATATTTTATTTGTAGATTTAGGTGACAGAAATCCACAGTCAGACAGTTCAATGATTCCTATCCTGCAATTCGTAACGTACAATCGTGGAAATGTGGAAACACTTCTTACTACTACGTTACTATTTCTTGAACATATATTGTAACAAAGATTTATGATTTACACACGTATTGCATAGAATTAAACACCTTATCTAACGTTATCAGGTTAATTCAAACATGCTTAAATGTGACTGACGGCATGGCAAACAGCGTCGCACCTCAAAATGTTACAATTACGCAAGAAATAAAATAATAGCCCTGACATGAATTTGAATAAAATCTTTTTACTATAAACAATATGCGTTTAGATAAAAAATTAAATATTCAGTAAATTATGGGATCTCAAGATTTAATTTCTCAGCCATTATTTTAAAGGTGGAAACCGAGCAAGCTACCGATTTCAGCCAGTTCAGATAACTTGCTGTAATGGCAAAGCGATTGCTCCCCAGACAAAGGTAGAGACGCACATAAAGCGAAAATTTCGGCTTCCAATTCGTCCCCTCTTTCGTCAAATCTACGTCCAAATCACAGAAAAGGGAAGGAAAGGAGAGGGGACTAAATTTAGACCTCCGGCACTATGGCATTTGGCGAGGTGTCGTCTGAGGTCGTGGTTACCCACCACGTTACCCGACCCATTCGTGCAACATTTAGTTACTGGCGTCTTCACTTTTTTCTAACATAAAGACTAAAAAAGCTAACCAATAAATTCAACAAAATAAAACAACTAATGCTGCTGCAGAAAGTTTTATTTTTTGTATACAAAATAAATCTTAAAATTATTACTTAGTTTTCTATCTTGTCCCTATCGTCGCTCCTAAGAACGCAGATGGATAAAGATATCCATTGATATGGATAAAAATATCCATTGACATGGATAAAAATATCCATTGATGGATAATGGTTTTTGGTGTTAAAGAGACTTGAAACATGGGCGCCAGTCGTCCATGGGTGACCGTTCAAGCTTTAGCAGCTAGCCCACCGAGGGGTTCCGCCGCTATGAGATGTTTCACACCTCAGAACACTCGCATGGAAACACCACCGCGGTTCCAAAGATACCGCGTTTCGACGGCGCCATAATAACAGCCCAGTACAAACAATAACCATAATACCATCCAAACTGCGAACTATCCCCAAACGCCATTACGATGTTCAACTTAATATTTACAAAATTTACTATTATTATTTATTTACAATATGCAGCTCGATTGAAAAAAGGGTTTTTATTTCTTATACACTTTTATAATTACGTAATTAATTTTGAAAAAAAAATACAATCAAAAAAATTGTTTATCAACTAAAGTACAATATCAAAATTAAACAATATTTTTATTAATTTAATTATCTACCAAAATTATACAAATTTCAGATATGATTGCAAATTATTTGTGCTATTCTACATTCAAGAAAAAAAAACATAGAAAAAAACCCTTTAGTTTTTTTATACCTCAAAATATAAATTGGTAACAAATTAATGTTTATATCACAATGTCTTCATGTTTTTTTTATGCAGTAAAATCTTTACAACTTTATTATAATTATACAACATTACTTCAGAAAAGAATTATAATAAATTGAAGAAGAAAAAATACTTTGTTTAACTAAATAGTAATTATAAAAATAAATCTTTCAACTAATTACGATAAAAGATACAAAAAGTTTGTAACAGTTAACATTTAATCAGATACTAAATAATAATAAAAAAAATTATTAAAATGCAACATTTTTAAAACTTACAATTGTTGAAATATCTTATAGAGAATAAGAAAAGTAATAAAATGTTGCATTCTAATTTTCTCAACTGTTTTTTTGACTAAAAATTCTTTAACTGAGTAATTCAATATGGATCTAAAACAATTGTTTTAGATTTTTTAAAATACTGCAGACTAAATCTGCTATTTAATATAAGAAATGTTTATATGCAACATTTTAGAGCACCTTAAAAATTTTCAAGTATTAAAAAGTCATCTTGGACTTCGGAGGGCCATAAAATGTTGCTTTTAACATTTCCAATTATTACAATTTTTCATTATGATTCTTATTATAAATTTAAATCTTAACGTTTTCGATGTCTTCAGACTTTATTATCAGCTCACAATAAGTAGTTGGGACGAAGGAATCTCACAACTCCTCTAAATAACAGCAATAGATGTCATGTACGTAGTTCACTTAACAAAGGCTTCATGTGGTATTTTACCCTCAGATTGAAGTTTGTTGAAGATGAACATTGCCTTTTGGAGATCCCAACCGGTCTCTTGAAGGCAGCTAGAAAGAAATACATCAATGCAATATACATACATAACAACACATGCAATAAAATATTATTGTCTTGTTAGTTGGGTATAAAAATAATAATTTAACAAGTTAATTTAATATTTTTTTATACTGTTAGGAAGAAAATCCGACACTGTGCCGGTGTACTGGCGCAACACTAGCCTTATTGAAATGTCAACGTTTATGTCCCTTCACTAATCAATCTGACATTTGACTTGGTAACGAAAGCGCGCCATTCGCGCCAAAGGATTCTAACTAATAATTTCTAAAAATTCAGTTAAAGCTAGCAGTTTTATTTAATTAACTACTTTTATAAGTATGTCATAAATTCTTATTATGTAAACTTACTTCATACTCCAATAATCGTTCATGCCGGTCTGCTGGCCGAGGGCATTGAGCAGCATCCTGTGATGTTCACTGTGTAGGGCCTCGGACGCAGCTGGAGCCGGGGCTGGCGCTGGGGCCGGGGCAGGTGTGGTTGCAGCCACCGGTGCAGGCGCAGCCGCAGGCACACCGGATTGGAACATTTTCTCTTCCTAATGTACAAGATTTTCCTTATAAAGTTTTATAAGTGGCAGTGGTGACTAAACATAACCTAACATGTGAGTCAATGACCTTAATCAATCAAGATATTTATAAAAATATATCTCAACAAAAAAAAATTAAGCATAAATATAAATTTTTTAACTCTGAGATTGATTTGGGAGGTACATAAGAGAGGCAAACGAGCAGCTGGAACACCGAGGTGTTCATCAACACCCATTGATATCAACAATACCAGAGGAATCGCAGATGCGTCGTCGGCCTTTGAGATGGTGATACTTGTGATGGTAGCGGTTTGGAATTACCGCCGAGGACAGATCATTTCACAACGCGGCTGTGCGGAAGTTTCGCACAAACAGCAAGGTTGTGAATTAGTACATCACAATTTGATATGGATTGATGCACAATCTTATTTTAAATGTATTGTAAACAATATGCTATGCAAAACAATCTTATATAGTCGCTAAATAAAATCAATGATTACCTGTTCCTTAGTAGTATTGGTGATGAATAACATATCATTAACTATGCAGAAACCACCACCATTGTTGGGTACTATCATAAAAGTGCGATGAAACGAGCGACTGCCTTGACTTGCTGTCTCTTTGAAAACTCCATTCATCGACACCATTATCATTGTTGGCTGCAAAAGAAATAAGGAGTTTAATAATACATTTGCATTTTAAATATAAAAACCCAATTAAAGCAATATAAATAACTTACTGTATATATAAGTACATCAACAGCGAAGCCCATTAGATCATGTGTTGTCTTCGGGAGGTCACAGATGAAGGCAACCACCTGTAGCTTGCCTGTACGAAGATATCTTCGTCTTGACTCTCTATCAGTGATCCTTAATATGTTCCGACTGTTTGGCAGGTACTGATGTAATCTGAAATAGTTATAAAAGAAATTAAAACAATGATATTGAGATTTTTTTATTTATACAGCAATAAGATAAGATTAAGATAAGATTGAATATATTTCATTTCAATCTAATGCCTGAATTAATATTATTAATTACAAAACCTATACTAAAATGATGACTTACTTGGTAGACGGAGAATTTCTTATATCATGGGTGAGGTAAGATGTAGTCATAGACATTGTTGCATTTTCATGATAGGCGTCCATTAATGACTGTCTAGATTCAGAATCATACACGGCGAAGTACTGAGCTAAGAACTGCCTCACAAAGTCCTGTGCCGCTGGCTCTATGAGGAATGACTGTTGCTGAGCGGGCAGTGCTACATCTTCGGCCACGTCGAAACCAATTGCAGGCGGCAAGTCCACACCATCCTGATACATAGATCTTATAGCAAAGGAGATCAAGCAAAAAAAGAAGCCACATCAAAAACCTACACTTACCAGTCGTACAAGCTTAGGGAACTTCTTCCGCACAGTGCTGGACAAAAACATTGCAACAGGTGAACATGATCTCTGAAAAACTTACTCAAGCATTATACACTAGACGTTTTAAAGCAAACACTTTGGTAACCTGCGTTCTAAAAAGCATGGGATTGCCATGCAATATATATTAGGCATCATATAAAAATGTGCACATCAATAATGTTGATTGAGATTACAAATAAATATTATTTTCAAAACATTTTTTTTAACACCCTCAGCGCCAAACCCTAAGTAACCGTATAAAATAAAAGTTTTTTTTTGTTGGGATGTGCTCAAATACAAAAATGTTTATACTTTTAAATATACAGCATTCTAGACACTGTGTGACAAAAAGATACACATGGCGCCCAAGGTGTTAATGATCTACTGCCAGCATATGGCACAGATGTATGCACATTTTTATACGAAATTGGTATTCATTCACTTGCTCACATTAACACTTCTACTTAAACATTTATTACCAAAGCGCAAGCTTTAAAATTCTAATGTACACTAATAAAAAAAAAGTCATATTGGGCCTAGAAATCAAAATTAGGAGGGATAGCAAAATATGAAAGGAAGCTTTAATTATTGCGGAGAAAAAAAGCAAAAGTTGGAATTAATACCAATACAAATAAATTTATGTCTTCATCACATCACAACAAGTTACAAAAAAAAGAGAGTAAAATTATTGAATCAATGTCTTAATAATTTCACTCCAAGTTAAACTAAGACATTAATTCCAACCAGATATAATACATCCAACAGGAGAGAATAAAAGGCGATGGTTTGCACTAAAGATAATATTATTATTGGTTGTAATTACATCTGGGAATCCTTCCTTATATTGGAACTTTATATTTTTTCCATCTCCGTGTCCACCTAACTCATGGTTGAACGACAATAAACTCACAGAGTTCAATTTCAACCACATTTCAAACCTTATATATGTAAATCCAAGGCTTCCAACTCTTGGAACTTCACTCAAATGGTATTTAAATCAATTAAATGTTACCTGACGTAATCATCATGATCATTAAACCTGTTCCGCAACGGGTTGCCTTTGAGCATCAACTCCACGAGGGGTAAGTTTCTTAACGACTCCAGTGACCCAACAACAGGTATCTGTAAGATTTGAGTTGAAAACCATTATTTTCTTTATATTTAAATCTTAAAGAGATTTTAGGGGAGCTGAGCACAAACTGAGCAAATTTAAGCGACTTGTCAATTGAGTATGTTTGTGCTTATAATAACTCTTTTGAAATGTAGTATTCCACAGTCTGTTGAAAGCCAAATCCCTTTGTGATTGTCAAAAGAGAAATAATAGGTGGAGCTTAGTTGAGCCCAAGCCAAACGTGCGAAGCATGTTTGTTCGAGGCTTGTAAGTCAACACTAAAGAAATTTTGTCTCTCATGCTCCACTCTAGTGTAGACCCACATTTAGTTAATACTTCCATATTGCCATGAGAAACAAACTACTATTACATGCAGTTGTCTTCAGAGTTCTTTGAGTAGCACATTTCAACCCATTTTACGATAAAATAGCAACATGCCTTATGAAATCTCTGATTATTAATTTATATTAATCTGATGGTTTGATTTTAGAAAATTATATGAATAGTTTTTTACTTTGATCTTTAATTTCTTACAAAAGAAAAAAATATTTAAAGCATGAATAGCATACCCTGTTATCGCCTAAATATAAAATCTTCAAGTTTTTCAATTTTGTAGCCATAACTTTGAGATGGTCCAGTCCATGTAATTTGTTATCATTGAGATTCAAGGCTTCAATGTCTGGTATGTTTTCTGCTATGATATCTATTGCCGTTAGCATGATGACTGGCCGAAAAAGGCCACAGAAGATTTCTGATAAATCTGGAAATAAAAACATTGATAAAAATATGAGCAATTTTTATCCAAACTTTGTTATAGACCTAACCACGATAGCAATCTTGAATTTATTAATAATAACCACTTAATAATGCACTTACCAGAATCAGAATGAAATTTTGTCATGTCCAATGCTTTCGTAGCTGGATTGTATCTTTTAGCCATAACTAACTTCATTTTTTCTTTCATATTGGCATCCACATTAACATTTGGGACAGCATTCTTCACTATCACAACCATTTTAAAACCATCTGGCATTACAATCTTTTTATCCGCATTAAACAAATTCTCGGCTGACTTAACATCATCCACATAGAAGATGGCAGCATTGCCATTAATTCTATAATAATGTGGAATGAAAATATCTGGCGATGTGAAATTAAGAAGCGCTCGTAATATGACATCTTTCTCATGTTTTGCTCCATAAGGAATAACTATCTGATACCAGGGTAGCATGCCAGGAGTAAACTTCTTGCCAGCATGTCTAGGTCTAGGCGCCGGAGAACCGAGTCGCCCTCCGCGACCTCTAAATGGTTTCCTAGGTCCTTGTCCTCCGGACATGCCCATATCAACGTCGTCATCAAGTAATAACTTGGCATTTTTGTTCCAGTTATTAAATTTGTTCTTGCCTTTATTTGTACCTGGTTTGAAGCTCACGCGTCTTGGGTTATGTGTTCGATCATCGTGTTCTGTAAAATATAAGCTTGCATAAGAATTACAACTGTTGTGTTGTTACATATTATTAGAAGAAATAGTATTACTAGCTTTGCCCGCTATATCGCCCGCGCGGTATTAAAAAGAACATAATTAATAGTAAATAAAATTATTGAGTGACAAAAAAGCGTAGTTACCAAAATGATCATTATCAGTTTTCCAATTTTTTATACGTCCTCCACCACGTTTTGGCATGTTGAGGTTTTTATAACTAATTCTATCGAATAACACTTCAAAACTGATTAATCAGGTATCTAATCTCCTATTTATTTCTATATTTTAGAACTGTTATATTAGAACAGTACAATACTTAAATTCGAGTTTAATAATTCAGAAAAGAACTTTTGAACAAAAACAACAAGACAAAGATGGCTGCCTAGTGCCTAGCCATGTTTAAATCAGTTCTGAACCGGTTCAAAAGTTCAGCTCACATAAACTTGAACCGTAGAGCTATGGTTAACAAGTAAATTGGCAGCTCAGAGATCATGGCCAAGTACTATAACTTTATGAGTTAACTAGCTACGAATACTTTGGTGACTATCACTTCGCAGCTCAAAACGAAAATCGACTCTACGTAGGTTTAAATAGTGCTGAGTTGTAATCCGATTTACTGTGAGCTGATTTGCAGGTCATAAATCTTGCTTTTATTTACACATGCTGCACATGTCTATGGCTGCCATTTCCTATCAAAGAATAAATAAGCAATTCGAAGCAGAGTCATTAAACAAGAGCGATGGTTTAGTCTTTGATAGTAGCAACACAGATAACTTAACCAAACTTAACTTTGAAAACAATTTCAAACATATCAGAGAAAATTTGAGATTTTAAGGATAATAATTATAGTGTGGATGTGTTTGTTCTTTATGCATATGAAACCTTCTATTTGCCTCTTACATAATTATAACATTAAAGTGTTCGTAGATCCACATTGGATTGATGCTCCAACGGAGTAAGTGAATAAACAAGTATAGTGTTCATAATATGCTAGTTATATTAAAAATTCGTATAATTTTTTTTTTAGAAGATTGAAAGTACAATCAAAGATCTTATCACATCTTTTAACAAAATACTGTGTATCTATTAAAAGTGGAAGACATTTGAAAAAAAAATGTGAAAGACATTGAAGTCAACCGTATTTAACAAAATACTAGGTTTTTATTCGGCTAAAAACTGAAACTTATTTCGAAATAAAACTTTAATAAAAGCCCTAAACACAGACTGGCATAAAAAAAATCTGTTAAATGATTGCGTTTCTCTATGGTATGAGCTATATTTTTTCATAGACGTAATTTTCGTATAAGTAAATGATTATTTGTGTTTCACCAAAAGATGAGATTAAGAAATCAATAAATATTCTTTCGTTCAGATAATAATATATCATAAAAATCTTATCTATTTCAACAAAAAGAAAATGAGCTTCTTAAAATGGAACGTAGGAGAAACCATAAAGTTTAAAAATAAAACGACCACAGACAAAGTTCGTGTGCTTTTCATCGAGTCTGCCATGTTTTGTCCTACTTGTCGCGCTTGATCAACGCGTTCGCGATTTCTGTTCCAAACTACTATTTTTCTGAATGTATTACAGGCTGTGTTTTGTTTACAAATAGTGTAGTTTATAACTCTGTAATTATTTAAGTGTAGCTTTATATTAAGCTACCAATTTTGATACTCGTGTGAATAATGGTGTAGTTCGTATTTCATCAAATTTTGAAACCGTTCAAAAGCTTGCCACAGTTGTAATCTGTATTCGGTGAATCCGTCGCAATTTTTGGAAACGTTTGTTTGTGTCTGCCGAGGTGATTACCCATCACATCGGTTCTGTGACGCAACCCACGTGCACATAATACAGCAAGCATCTCATGCACATTTGTTATTATTTTGTTCGCGGCTCGCGAGTTCGTTTCTAAGCCGTGAGGATCGAATCGGATCGAAGAAGGGAAATCGCGTCGTCCGTCTTGCTCCCTCACGGCGCGTTCCATTCTGTTGCATTTATCCATTTTCATTAATCGAAATAAGTTTTTTTCGTTCGGGTGTGCATAATTGTTTTCGTGCGCGAAGGCTAGTGTTTGTTGGTGGTGCGAGCGCTGTGGAGGCGCACGGCACACGTGACGCGAGACGAGTGTTTGGGTGTCAGTGGTCGGTGGGCGCGCGTACTCCGGTTGCACTCTGCAGTGCGGCGTGCGTCGTGCGTCGGAGGTGATTCACCGGGCGGCTTGTTGATCGTGCTTATTTACCCGCGAGTGCATCACAAGTGCGTGGAGGAAGTGCAAAGGCATGTGTGGCGCGCGACGGCGCCGATGACACCGCCGTCCGGGGCGACGGCGATTTAAAACAGTGAACCGTGTGTTAGCTATGCGTTTCGGGTTATGAGTGTGTGACAAAGTTGAAGGGTGCTGAGGACACTGGAGCCCCTAGACGGAGTTGGGCCCGCCGGGGCGGCCCTGGTGCTTCTTGGGGCTCCTCACGAAGGCAAAATGGCAGCGTGGAACCGCCATCACCACTTCAACATGCTCATGGATGAGAATGCCAAAAACAAATGTGAGTACAATAAAATAATCATTTATTCTTTGCAAATTTATCAGGTGCAGTAGTTAATTGTGTCCAACATTGAAATCTTTAAAGATGTTTTATAATTTCATTTATATATGTAAATGTTAGTTTGCAATTCTTTATTAAAAAAACCACAGATGGTGATAAGATTTATTTAAACTACCCACTAGAGAATTTATTGAAAATTTTGAGTCAGATTAAAGTTGTAAAACTATTATAACTAACCCTACAACTTACATGAGTGTAACCTCATGTAATATTTTTTACTAAGAAGTGTTAACTGGTTACATAGCATTTTTTGCTAGTTGTTTACTAATCTTCAGTTCTTAATTATTACAAATAATATGTAGTCATAGATTATAATTAAAAATAGTAAATTAAGCACAATATTTAAGGCATATATATTAATGTGTAGTTTAATAAAAAAATATAGTGAAAAAATCTGTCAATGCATTGAAGGAATTAAAATACAAATATATGCATTTCTTCTTACATGTGTTTGAAATGTTTAATACAACATTGGAGATGAATTGTTGCGAAAAGCATTTTGTTTCTTTCATAAGTGTTTTCCATGTGAAGACCACACCACTTTTATTAATGGCTCATTCCTTTCTTAGATTTACTTGGATTAATACAATGTCTTCATTTGTATAAACTTAATGGAATTGTGATGTAATTAGTGTAGTTATGAATCTATATATAGACTACATATTTCTATGCATAAAGGCTTGTAGTGGAAAACTTGGATTAAACATATACAATGGTCATATCAGTACCAGTCGTAGACTGGATTAAATGCTGCCTTCTATGGTGCCCATATAATGCTCATGATGTACTCTAGGTGGCGAAAAAGTCATGTGAAATATTGTTGAGAATTACAACCATGCATGCCGGTCCAGAATTGATGTAGCTAGTCTTATATTAAATGATCTATGTGTTATTCAAGTATTCTCTGTCAGTTTTATTTTTACAACAAGTTTTTAGTGATGATATATAGATGTTGTTAGTTCTTGATTCTTAAGTTAAGGTAAACAAATAATCTTATTATCTTACTAATATTATAAATGCAAAAGTTTAGATGGATGGATGGATGTTTGTTTAAAGGGATCTCCAAAACGGCTGCATGGATGTTGCTACAATTTGGCATAGATGTAATACATAGTCTGGAAGAACGTACAGACTACTTCATTTTTTTTTGCTATTTGGGCGCGGATGGAGTCACGGGCGACAGCTAGTAATTTTATATTTTCAGGTAACAAAATCATAAATATACGAATTTTAAACCGGCCACCGTTTGATGAAGCCGACGTGTAACGTTCCAATAAAAGCACGAATGCATCAAGTTACATGGACCCCTGACTCGTTGGGCACAATACAATTTTCCGTCCTATCACCTCCTTTATACGGCCGTGTACACAATTGCAAGCAGAGTATATCCTGTAGGTGTATATTATTGGATGCACACCCCCCCGCATCCTGCGGGGGAACGCGGTGCCCTATATCCCTTTGACCTGATTTTCAACTGGCATTTGACTGGAGTTTAGTTGCGGTTCCGTTAGGTTTGATTGATCGATTTTACGGTTCTACAATGATTTGGTTCAGTATACGTAATGTTTTAAAATTAAATATTCTCCATCACGACATAATGATATTATGTATATTCCAAAAATAAATAAGTAAAAAACACTTAATATTTAAATTCTAAAATACGGAAAGTATCAATGGCGGCGGTTTCAGTATGTTTCATTTCATGCCGGTCACTCAACCGGAAAGCAAAGATTGTTTTACGACATAATTTAGAGTTTATTTCGGGACGAATTATGATCGCTCCATGTAGCCTCGACCCCAAAACTGCTTAATGCGCGACTTCGACCTCCCCAACCTTTAACCTAATTCCACGTCCACCCCCGCAGATGGGTACTTGCATCGATGCTTTTATAAGATAACAACACTCCCACGCCATAGTCCCGGCCCAACAATATACCATTGAAATATTATATTGATCACAGCAAGTTCCATTTGTTGTGCTATTCATTGTTTGCAGTATGACGATTGACGATGGTAACACGAAGCAGATGCGGGGATTGAATAGAATCGATTAACGCACCCTTTTATGAAATAAATTATATTTGAAAAGTTCATTAAGCGACAATGCTGATGGAAACAACATTTATTATTGTTATAATATAGTCATAAATGTCTTATTGTGGTCGTCTCGAGTTCTTTCACTTCCCACGCTTTTGGCACTCAATTGGCGGTCATTATATTTGTCGGTTATTCCGAAATCACACAAATAAACCGCTCCCAATGACCGATTTCCAGGAAATAGGTGACATTATCTCTCAGTGCATCTTCTTAAAATTAGCTTTTCTTTGAAGACATTGTTTTTGTTTTACGTATATATTGTTTAAAATGTTTGGAATCGTAAAATTCAGCTAATACTTAGAAACTTATTTGTTTTGCAAAATAAAAATATTTAATATGAAGTAAATTAATTTCGATTCTTTTTTTTTCGACTTCCCTTATGCAATAGCAAAAACAGAACATGAAGGCACAATGGTTGCGGCAGTGGCGATACTTGCAGTGGTTGGTGTTTGTGCGGCTGTGTTGGTATTTTTGCTTGCGCGATCAACTTTCATTTAGCGCTGGCTGTCTCTATGCGGATGCTGGCCTCACGGTGTGCTGCTATTAAGCCCAAACGCTCGTGCACCGACCGCCATGTAGATGCTATCGTGCTCTTTGGAAAGTAACCGACAACGGTTTACTTCGGCGTTAAATCGCTCTCTCAATTTCGTTTCCGTGAACACATTTTGTATTTAAGTTGTCTTCAATTGGAAATGTTTAATTCTTACACTCCATTTGAGGTAAACAGCAATCTCAATCCTAATTTTAATCACTTAAGTGCAAGACAAGATGAGCCAGTTGCTACAATTTATTTTTGTACACTCTTTCAATTAAGAATACTAATTTTTTTAATGATTTATGTCAGGTGCAGTTTTCAATCTAGAAAGGTTAAACGGAATCGACACCTTTTCTACACGACCCAGTTTTAAATCGCAGCATTTAGAATACAAAAATAAACGCTGGCAAATAATGTAAGGGAAAACAATGCCGTTGCTATAGCGTGTACATCATTTACGTATACGAAAATACATCCCTGTAACACATGGTAACAAGTAATTTAACGGTATCGAGTGAAGTGAGCACAGCACGTCTCGACAGCGGCGCGCTCGGCGACGGTGAATGGTCACCTTTCTCCGACACACAGTCTAGACAAGTCAGTTTCGACCCGTGAATGAATTTAACATTGGAATGCGGAACGACAAATTTTTGTCATGATTCATTGCCCTCTCGATGCGCCCGGTGCGGTGAAATTGTTTAGATTTATTACTCACTTCGTTTGCCTGTTCAAAATTTTATCCTACAGACTGCTTTACTTTGCGCTACGCGGTAGACGCGTATCTTTTAATTAACTGTTAATGTTTCTACTAATTATTTTAATTAGGAATTTATTTTACGCATTGTAAGTTTATATTAAAAGCCTATCTCATTTAACTACCGCTTAGTTGTTTCCTAAACCCCCATAGTTATCCCGTTATTGGATATTAAAAAAAGTATTTTTTACTTTCACTCTTTCAGATTTTCTGCACCGAAGTTTCGAGATTTAAGCCGACTTTTGTCATTTACAAAACAACTTTTTCCTTTACTTTATTTTAAATTTCTTTCTTACTATCACACCCAATAAGGTCCATCAAATGCTAATTTTTTTGTAATGTGCCATTGAGTTTATGCGTCTTACTCGTGTTAAATAATTCGTTAATATTGAATCGTTGGTTTTCCCCACTGTTCGTACAGCATAAAGTTCAACAATTCGTCGTTTGGTCGAGAACAATGCGTGGGCCACGTGGGCAAGGTGGGCATTGTATCCTGTGTGGGCATTCAGGTACGCTATGCTAATGCTAAGATTTCTCCACCGCTCCGCCGAAGGACTCAAGCCATTGTATCTGTTCTCGAGGTTTCATTGCGCGCCACGAACGACTATTTGCATTTTAATTGCTTGAAATCTCGCGTACACATTACGTGCTTTCGGTCAATTTACAGGAATACTACTTTAGTGGAATGCAACGTGACTTGCGGATGAGCGATCATTGCATCGGTTTTGATTGTGTGCGATACAAATTTCATTTCTCCCGCACTGTTTTAAAAATTAATAGTTAACAGTTTTATTTTTAGAAATAAAAACCTAAGTCTAACTTGTATAATGTGAGTTCTTTGACGGTACATAACCGCTATAATAAATACTGAAAACCATCACAATGTCTGAATCGTACTTACTCGTGTGATTTTATATAAAATCAGTCGTTTACTGCCATTGGTATTGTGCAACAATAGTTCATTGAAGCGATTATTGTGTTTTATTGTGATTTTAATATGGTTTGTAATTTCCGCTTGTCACGAAGGAAAATAAACACAACGCAGTAAGCATTATCGTCGGCCGCTCCACTGGCGAGGTGTAACGAGGCAGCCCTAAAGTGCCCCTCGGTGTCGATGACCGGCTACTAAGGTTTTTGCGCGGCGGCTATGCTTTATATTTTAATAACTGAATGTATGGGAAACATCGATTAACGGCTGTAACGCCAACGCAACACCTTCGTAAGATGCAGCACTGGCTTTCAAAAGAAGTTATAAAAATCCAGAGTAATTGTTCTACTAGAACTGTAAGATTGAAGCTAGTTAAAAGAGTTGGGATAGCAGTAAATAGTTAACATTAAGCAAGCAGTGGACGCAAAGCAGGCTAGGCATAAATGCTACGCATTTTTAGTTGCCTTATAAACATCTCGTGTGCAAAATAAACGCTAAAAGTTTCAAGGATATAGAGTTCATGATTTTTCATGTCACATATCCGGATGCAATTTTCTTTTTTTGATTTTTATGCCTAAACGATTTATCAGTTTGTTTTTATGACAATAAAAATATATAGCGCTTAA